TGATCTAAGTCAGGGCACGGCTTACTCACAAATTGAACCCTGAAACAACCTCTGGGCTGATCTAAGTCAGGGCATGGTTAACTCACAGATTAAACCCTGAAACAACCTCTGGGATGATCTAAGTCAGGGCATGGCTAGCTCACAGATTGAACTCTGAAACAACCTCTGGGATGATCTAAGTCAGGGGATTGCTAACTCACAAATCGAACACTGAAACAACCTCTGGGCTGATCTAAGTCAGGGCATGGCTAACTTACAGATTGAACCCTGAAACTACTTCTGGGCTGCTTAATGTCAGGGCACGGTAACTCAAGGATTGAATTAGAATTTACCCTCGGATCAAGGCGAAGAGACCAAACTAAATCTATTCACACGTGATTGTGGAGTCCAGGAATTGCAAGTGAAAGAAACAAGTTTACTACTCCAATGCCACTCTTGATTCCCGCTTKAGCTCTGTCTATTCTCCATTAATAACTACATATGTAAATCCATAATAAAAAGATTTGTTTTTCCAGGAGTGTCATGGCACAGAATGTGTGCAAAGCACCAAATAATTGCTACCAAACGAACCTTGAACGATGTTATTAGTAGTCCTGATCAAGCTTCCAATGACACGTCTGTGAATGAGTCTGTGTGGTTCCGCCTCCAGCATCCTGTTACATCTCAATCTATGCAGGTAAGTAAATATGTGCCTAAAGCGACTTTAGAATCCAGTCAACAGCTATTACCAGCTGAGTGGACAAAATGACCGGCCTAAGCAGTTTTGGAACTTGAAAAAAACAAAACAAAAATGGCGATAAAGTGAAATTGTTTTTATTTTTCCTTTGCATGTTTTTGCTTCTTGTATACAAGTTTATTCTATTTTATTCAAAAGAAAATAGAAAAATACGCAAAAGATGGGCTACAGTAGCCTGAGACTGAGGGCTAAACAGCTAAACGCGCTGTGATTGGCTGAAGCAAAATTCACCGCTCAGCTGTTATAGCATAACCCAACTCCTCCAATGCTATACAGATTAGTACATTGTAAATGATGAGGATTAGATCATATCAACTATCATCTCCATTCTTCAATTTGTCAATATCGTTTTCATCTTCTATCACCAATTTCATCACACTGCACCTTTATTGATCATCGTTATTATCATTATCATCGTCATCATATTCCATTAACCCCTTCATCACAATATCACTTTTCTTGAGCCTCATCTTCATCATCATCATCATCATCCCCATCGTCGTCATCTTCCATCACCACCTTCATCACAATTCCACTTTTTTCGATCTTCATCAGCAGCTTAATTAACATTATCAGCATTATCATCACCATCGTCATCATCGTCATCATCTTCCATCACCACCTTCATGAGAAACGTAATTAGCATAATCAGCATTATCATCAACATCGTAATCATCTTTCATTACCGCCTTCATCACACTACCACCTTTCTTGATCCTCATCTTCATCATCGTCTTCGTCTTCCATCACCTTTCTTAATTTTCATTGTAATCGTCATACTTCATTTTATAGATCCCTGAGTCTTGTACTCCTTCCATGCGCTGCTCAACCCAGGCCACCGGCTGGCTGCTTGGTTCTCATCCGGGTATTCAAGACGGAGTAGTTCGTCGTACTGTGTGTTTTAACTGGGATGGCAATTACTGTAAATACAACACCACTATTCTCGTACGAAGGTGTCATGGCTTCTACGTTTACAAGCTCCAAAAGCCATCATTTGACGTGCAGGCTGCCTATTGTGCAGGTAAGATATCAAAATATTCTATGGTTTACCGTCATAAATTTATGAAGAAAATATATGTTATTGGAAATCGGAATGTCATTACAAACCTACTTGCGTTCATCCCCAGAAATCTCCAATGCATTGAGCCCAAGTGTTATTTTCAAACACGTGACGGTCAATGGCGGCGTCGTAAACCACGTGATTCATACTGAACGTGACCTTGACCCACTCGAGTGCGTAGCAGTCTGTCTGTCACACCAGTCATGCAAATCAATCAACTATCATTCAAGTAGCAGACTGTGTGAGATGAACAGTGCTGCCAGAAGTGACGTGTCGTCCAGTGATTGGATGGAAAGACAAGGAATCTCCCTGTACGAAATGATTAAAACAATCGATAATGGCTCCTGTGAAAAGTGATCATTGATCATAACTTACTTCCAAGGTCTTAAATATGAGGAGGTGCATGAGGAAAATAATTGAGAAAAATTACTTTGTGAAGGAAGGGATACATTTCTTCATGCATGCATTGCACCAAARATAAAAAGGCAAACTGGTTTACAGCGATACTGTTGCATCGCGACCCACTCTTTCAAAACTTCATTTTGATTTTGGTCTTTTCTGGAACCGTCAATCATCTTGGGCTTATGCAAATAAGTCTTAAAACACGCTCGCTCAGCTTCGGTCATAACAATGATAAATTTTCTAAAATCTAAAATGACTCAAGAGTATTCTAAGGATTTGCGAAGGGAAGTTATTTTCAGTTGAGGGTTGTTTCAGAAAAGACTAAAATTCAAACGAAGTTTTGAAACAGCGCTGGTCGCGATGCAACGGTTAATATTCCTCAAAACCTTCTGTATCAATGTCAGGCAAGTTTTAGATTACTAATGTAGATTACTAATTCCAATAAAGACCTTGTTGGACGCACATGATTTGGCGTTATGTAGAGTGTTATGTATGCTTTTAAGAATGACTATACACATCAAACCACCATACTGGTCACCCTCTGCTCCAAGACGACACACGGTTATAAGCCTTTCAGGATGTAAGGATAATAGTTTTTTACAAATCATTTTTGTTTTACCCAATATGGCTCCTAGATGCCTCTTGCGCATTAAACGTTAAACTACTCGCTTCGACTAGGTGTGATTACCATGACTTCCGGCTCAATCTGTTCAATATTTTCTTGAGTTTCTAAAAGCCACTTGTCGGTTTCTGCCTTTCCCCGTCCTCTGTGCAAAGATTTCAAACTCTTTGTGGTTTTCTTATATTTTATTCCGCACTTCTTTGAGTTGTTTCAAGGTAAGACTGATCAATCGGCGACTCTTTCGCTGGTTCATCAAATTCTAATTGGTTTCTTAATTTAACTCATTTCAATTTTCGACTGCCATTTTGGCGAAGGGTCTACTACCTTTAAAAGTTTTTCTACGATACTTCACAACCCCAAGATAACTTCTTTTTTATCCTGGGATGTCCAAATATTCCTTCAGGTATTCCAGTGTTCTTTTAGGTCAAATGTCCTTTCGTTCTTCCTGTCCTAACTTGTTCAATTCGTTGACTTCAAATCTATCGGTTCTGTTGACATTTTTGGAGACTTTTATCTTCCATCCACTTCTCAAATACCTACCCTGAGATAGTTCGTGGGTTCCCCTACTTCCATCCTGCTCGAGTACTGATGGTTGTAGTGTACTTGACAGGGTGTGGTCTATGCATCCATACAGTTCATCTCATGAGTACTGATCGTTGTAGTCTAGTTGACAGGGTGTGATCTATCCATCCATACAGTTCATTTCATGAGTACTGATGGTTGTGGTGTAGTTGACAGGGTGTGGTCTATCCATCCATACAGTTCATTTCATGAGTACTGATGGTTGTGGTGTAGTTGACAGGGTGTGGTCTATCCATCCATACAGTTCATCTCATGAGTCCTGATGGTTGTAGTGTAGTTGACAGGGTGTGGTCTATCCATCCATACAGTTCATCTCATGAGTACTGATCGTTGTAGTGTAGTTGACAGGGTGTGGTCTATCCATCCATACAGTTCATCTCATGAGTGCTGATGGTTGTGGTGTAGTTAACAGGGTGTGGTCTATCCATCCATACAGTTCATCTCATGAGTCCTGATGGTTGTAGTCTAGTTGACAGAGTGTGGTCTATCCATCCATACAGTTCATCTCATGAGTACTGATGGTTGTAGTG